ACATGAAGCATCATGTTGGCTTCATTAAAGAAGGAAAGGAAGAGATGGTGTGTAGGCTCAAGAAGAGCTTATACGGATTGAAACATGCCACAAGACAGTGGTATAAGAAGTTCGATAACTTCATGCAGAGTAATAGCTATGGCAGATACAATTCAGATCATTGTTGTTATTTCAAGAGGTTCGAGTCCAGCTTTATCGTGTTATTATTGTATGTTGATGTAGGCTGTCAAAAAATCACAATAGATAGCTTATCTCCATCAAACATCAACAAGAGGAGTTACAATTCAACAACTTCCAGAAGGCTAAAATTTGAAGACTTTTACGTAGATCGATGAATGTTACAAATCGACGATCTTCACGACAACTGATGAAAGCTCTGATCAATGGTCTTCACAACCAATAATGAGAGCTACAATTTGACGACTCTCACATTTTAAAGAGCTAAAGCGAAGATTGCAAAACAACGATCGTTGTGACGCTCTGACAAAAGAGATTACAAGTCAACGATATCTTCAATCCAAGACGCAAAACTTATCCCTACATCCCAGAGGTGAAACACAAGTGATTGCGTTCTAGAGTCAAAGCAACGCAATTACTGTATTCTCAGCTACCAACGAAGCTCACACACAGTACAAACGCAGTGTTTTTAGCCGCTAAACATAGCACCAACGTAGCTTCCAAGTGCTGCCAAACGCAGCTTCCAAACCGTTGCGTCCGAGCTTCCAGACGCTGTGTTCGAGCTTCCAGACACTGCGTTCAAACGCAAAATTCATGCCAGAATACGGATTTTGCGTTTGTCTCGTTCAAATACGAGCTAAACGGTTTCAAAACCGTTTTTCACGATTTGAGGACGGTTACACCCAACTTAGGAGTGATTTAAGGGGCAGTTACACCCCTTAACCCCCTATAAATCTCAACAAACTCAACTGAGTTAGAGGTTGGAATTTTTTGGATCAGAAACGGCCTGAAGGGATCGACATTATTCCTCAACGGAGATCATCTTCAACTTCAGCAACGAGGAGCTCGTTCTTGGCTATAACCGACTTTCGGTTCAAATCAACTCTTTTACAAGAGTTTAAACTCGCTTTGAGTTCCTAAACTCGTTAAGAGTTAATTTCAAACTTGCTTTGCAAGTTCTCCACAACGTCAAATCATGAGGAGAAGATACCGATTCCAGTAAAGCGAGGTGTTCAGATCGTCAACGAGAAGCAAACTCGACGTGAGTTTCGAGGGAGGTATCTCATCGACACCAAGAAGAACCCAGGTTAAACAAAGGAGAAGATCTCCGTCGATCTTCTTCTCTTTTGTAATCGAAAATTCAAATTGTAATCAGTTAGAGATTGAGAGAGTTGTAAACACTTTTTCTAAGCAATTAGAAGGAATAAATCAAATTCAATTCTTTCAATTTTCTTCTTACAAATTTTTCCACCAAACAGTTGATGACATGTTAGTTGTAAGATCGTGTTTACAGGAGATAAACAAGCTGAAGAAGCAGTTAGCAAATGAGTTTGCCATGGAAGATATGGGTGCAGCGAATTAGATTCTTGGAATGGATCAGCCGGGATGCGACTGAGGGGACGTTGAAGTTGAGTCAGTCTGAATACATAAAGAAAGTACTTCAGAGATTCGACATGCAGAATCCTAAGGTTGTTAGCATGCCCCTTTGAAGCCAGTTCAAGTTATCTGGAGAATAATCGCCCAAGACTGATGCAGAGAATGAGCACATGAGAAAGGTGCCTTATATGAACACATGAGAAAGGTGCCTTATTCATCAGCCATTGGTAGTTTGATGTACGCAATGGTTTGCACGAGGTCGGATATTGCTCATGCAGTGGGAGTTGTGAGCAGGTTTGTAAGCAACCCAAGGAAGCAGCATTGAGAGGCCGTGAAATAGATATTACGATATCTGAAAGGGACTACGAATATGCCACTATGTTTTGGGAGAGTTGGTACTACAAGGATACGTGGATGCAGATTTCGCCGGTGATCATAATACAAGGCGAAGCACCACAGTGTATGTTTATACCTTAGGATCGACAGCAGTGAGCTGGGTCTCACGTTTGCAGAATATTATGATGTTGTCCACAACTGAGGCAGAGTATGTCGCAGGAACCGAGGCGAGCAAAGAAATAATTTGGTTGATCAGGTGTCTGTAAGAGTTAGGTCTGAAATGGGGAACGAAGTTCTTTATTGTGATAGCCGGAGTGTTATACACCTTGCCAAGAACCCAATATTTTATGCCAGAACGAAACACATCGAGTTACGTTACCACTTCATACGCTCGATGATTGAGGACGAGAAGTTACAGTTGGAGAAGATTTTGGGGAGTCAAAATCCTGCATATATGTTGACTAACGCAGACATCATTCAGAAACTGGAGTTGCGCGTAACTTCAGTTAGCATTCATGCATAAGAGATGAGGGCGGAACCACACAGGAGAAGATGTTTGTTAAGAGAGCTTGTTGATGACAGTTTGATCTCCAAGTGGAAGATTGTTGGAAAATGGGGTGTAGATCCAAACCTGACAGTGACGGGCTTCAGGCGACCTCAACGCGGGAGGCGTGCTCGTGAGGGCTTCAGGCGAGGTAAGCTCCTCCAGGCGAGATTTGAAGCAGGCGAGGTTGACGACGAGGCGCTGGTGAGCTCAACGCTAACAGGCAAGCTCAAAATCCAGCTGCAGGCGAGGTCAGATTTCTGCAAGCGAGGTCCACTTGAAGTCGAACGCAGGCGAGGTCGTCACAGCTCCGCAAGCGAGGTTAAACTTAATTTTGAAAGAAGAACTAACCCTCCCAGCCCCAACCGCCCCCCTCTTTTTCAAAGATGGTGGTTAATTCTTATAGGGAAAACAATTTCCCCCCGTCTTGTTTTCTCATTATGTTGAGTCCAAACGTACGACGACTAGGAAGCAACAATACTGTTCAGTTTTAGTAATATCAAAATGAAGAATTTAAAAAAAAAACCTTTGAAAAAATAATTAGCAAAATCAACCATTTTGTAAAATTACTAGCAAAATTTATCTCTTTTTTAAAAAGAGGTTGACTTCAAAAAAATTTAGCTTTAAAATGCATGGGAATAGTAGTCTTGTGTATTTAGTTTCCTTTAAACATTAAGCATTTCAACACAAGTACACGAGATGACCAGTTCAGATTAATCACAATTTGCGACCACTAATTACACAGGACTATTAATCCCGTGCATTTTAAACTCAATAGTTCACAAAATAAATGGCCAAAAAAATCAATTTTGCTAATATTTTTATAGAATGGTCAACTTTGCTTATTATTTTTCAAAAATGTCTTTTTTTTAATTCTCTTATCAAAATAAACTAGAAGAGCATGAGATATAACATATGTAACTAACACATCTACAAATACTAGCCACAAAAGAATGGTAGCGCAAAGTAGAATAAAATCACAAAACTTTTCAGAAGGACAACAGGAGAGAAAACCCACCAGACAAGTTTCTATTAATTGGATTATATTACTACTACATGCCCATAATTTTGGTTATGAACCATGATTTTTAAATTACATCTGCTACAATCACACCCTAAATGCATCTCACAAGCTAGAAGAGAATCAAATAATTCATACATACAAGTCAAGTCTGTAAGTATTTTCCAACATAATGGCATCAACTGATGAAAGAATAGGATTTACGTAGCCGACCCTAAAATTTTGGTATAAAGACTTTGTTATTGTTGTTTGTTATGGGCATCAATTTGATATAAAACCTTATGCCTTCATTGCTTATGGCTCTTTTTAAGCATCCTGCATGATCATGATAATATCAGTTATAAAGTAAGAGAGATTGTATTTATACAAACTTACGTAACACTTTCTATATCTTACCCTATGAATTCATTTTCTCTGACATTTCTATTGATTCATCAATGGTTTTGGAACTTTCCTTCTCTCTCCATACTGCTAGTACTTCATCAGTTCTAAACCTCTGTGTGAATGTAGATTCTTCCAAAGGCGTGGTAATGCCATAAGCAAAAGCCAAGAGACCAGTATAAGCAATCATAGCTCCATTATCGATACAATAACGATCATCTGTAGCAAAAAGATTACCGCCTCTCTCTGAGCACATCGTCCTCATCATCTCTTGAAGTCGTTCATTGCATCCAACGCCACCGACAATGAGGATGTCCTTCTTATCGCAGTGTGCCATTGCACGTTCAGTGATCTCAACGAGCATCGCAAACAATGTTTCCTACAATATTTGCAGAATACATGGAATAAGACTAAAAGTAAATAGCATCCCAGAATGAGGTGCCAAAACAATAGTCATATTTCAAAATTTTACTGACTTGAACACCCGAATTAATACGAAACACACAGAAACTAGAAAATACAGGATCAATCTTTTCTACTACATTTCCATCCATCCATTAAACATGCAGTTCAGGTCATATACCCTACAGGTATAAGGATAACAATTAAATCGTCCAAATGATCAAACATGAAGATATCAAAAGAATATTAACAAAACATCAACATTCATTACTTATGAAAGAACTACTGCAAGAAAAAATGGGTCTTGTTGAATGAGCGGTATTCAGTCATTCTTCTATTCATGCTTAATTATGCGTCTATCAAACAGTACAATATGCAGGCTCTAACAACCTTCTTTTGGACATACTTCATTCAAGCAGGAATTTTTCGAATTATTGGGAACCAAGCTAACCATGCCCCAAAGATTAATGGTTTCCGAATACAAATTTTGAAACTAAAGATTACTAGTACGTACCATAGCTCATATATTCATTCAAACAGATTGCTACTTTGTCCTTTGCATAAAATGGTTATATTAACTGGTTACCTGTAATGAATAGCAGAGGTCTGCTGGTGTGCATTCATTGTTTTTCAGCTTCTCCACAGCAGTAGCTTCTATGTAACTTAATATCCCACTAAATGATACATCCATTCCTTTTACAACGTAAGGAATATCAATAAACTTATCTCCTTTCTTTGCCAGCTGAAAAGAAAAAGAATAAACCAGGGTCATGCAATTGTATAAGGAGAATACATTTGGAAAAGGATAAGCATCGCAGAAGAAACAGCAAAAGAATGGACGCAGAAGTACATTTTAGTGGGGGCCTCCAGTATCAAGATGAATGTAAAATAACAATTGGCCTGGTAATATAATGTTCATCCTGAACTAGTAAACAAGAACCTTTATCCTTTGAAAGGAAAGAACAGTTAACCTCCAAATGTTTAAAAGGATAGAATGAGGTAAACAGTCTAAAGGTACCACCCTTTTTCCCATGCTCTTCCTTCAAAATTACTGTCCAAGTGTCGAGCAAGTATCTCAGACATCTATAAGATGCAGGGGTGGAGCCAAAAATTTTATCCAGCTTTGGCACTCAACAAGCTCAAGTTTGCTTACCATCATTTCACTCTCTATATAAAAAGAATATAACACAAGTTTGGGTTTCGATTGTTTAAGGAGGAAATGGCTATTTTGCCCTTTATGTTGAGTTGCAAGCTAAGTTGACATCTGTTCCTTTGATTTTCTAATTTTTTGACATCTGTCTTTCCTGCTTCTGCCCTCTTTTATCTTCACGGTACTTGTTTCTCTCCTCTTTTAGTATCACAGTAACAACGAGCTCCAAAAAAGACGGATAATCAACCGTGCCCAATCTTCTCAATAGGTATTTATCCCATTCTTTCTTGATTTTCTTTAATTGCAATTTCTCAATAGGTATTTTCCCGGTCTTTTCCTAATCTTTTCCAATTTCTTTTGATTTGTTTGTAACCATATTTCAAGGTTGGTGAGAAGGAATTGCTTTTTTTTAATTGCTCTTTTCAATTTTTATCTATTGTTGTTGCTCATGTTCTGAGATTTTTGAGAACGGATTTAGATTCTTTGTTTCTGAACATATTTTAGGTCCATATTTTAGGATTCTTGAATCTTGAGAATGAATTCTTCTGCCTGTATTTTGGGTTTTCTGAGAATAATTTATAAAAAATATTATTTCTTTCATCACTCTGTATAATTTTCCCTGATTGTTTGTCTCCATATTGTGATTTTTGAGAATGAATTGTGTTTTGAATCTGTTCAATTTATGCCCCTTTTTGGAAAAAGTTGACTGTTCCATTAACTCGATGATAATATTTTATCTGAAGCTAAACATTGATGTCGGCAAACAGCATTCTCGCCGATGCCAAGACCCTCTTGTTTGCAACTACAGGCATAAAGTGCCCGACTAAATGTCAATAGCCAGCACAATCAGCTTGACCTGTGAGTACGTCAATCCCTTACCCAACAATTTGTAAACCCTCCTCACATCATCTTCACCTCTAGGCTCTAGCCATCACATTCTGGCTACTACTACCACGGCACGCTCAACCCTGCTACTAACAGCACTCCATAAGCACCCCACCATCAACACCGCACAAGCAGCCAATCCCTAGCAAGCAAACCTAGAACCACAAGCAACCCCTC